TAGGATTAGTTTATCTTATTTTCAGATTAGGATTAGCTTATCTTATCCTTAGCAAGATAGAATTGGAAGTCTCCCTATTCAGCAAGGAGACTCCCTAAGAYTARGACTCTTGTAATMTYCTWTTTAARGAGACACCATTATTGAATGAGGATATCGAATATTCAGTTAAAGAAGTGAGTTAGGGGAGTTGGTGATCTCTTGAACAAATCACCAGAGGCGCAAAGATAGGTTCATCAAGAGCAGGAAGGAATAAGGGAAAACAGGAGGTTTTCCCCATGGACCGACCTGTGACGAGATCCTATTCCCAGGCCCTCAACAACCTCAGTGTATTTTGCTGCTTAGCAAGCTTGAAGAAGAGAATATCTCTCCTGTGTTGCAGATGCAAGATGGGAAGGAATTAACTGCCTTCTTTTAAAATTAATAAAATCCTTTCATGAGTTACTGATCATAAAAAAAATACAAAAAAAGATGGGAAGGAATGAAGAAATCGTCATTTCATTGTTTAATCACTCTGTAATGCTCTCATTCATAACCAGGTAGATCATTACTCAATTGAGCGTGCGTTATTTTGTTTATATTATATAAAGTATTGCATATGTTCTATAAATATATTATGTGTCATAGAATATAATATTTTATATATCTTATACTCTTATATAAATATTTAAAATTATAAGAATGGAATCCCAAACCAGGTTTGTGTAGAGCCAGACCCAGGCTTATATTTCAGGTGCTCATGATCACCTCTAGATGACTAGATGCATCTAATTAATTCTTTCAAGATAGCTACGTTTCTTTCAGGTTCTTCTCGTTATTCAGAAGACATCAATGGCAACCAAGGAATCCTCATGAGATTTTTCTATGTGGCCTATACTTCAAGGAAGCAAGAAACCAAATATCTTTTAGAGATGTTTTTCTTTTGCAGTGATCTGGGAATTCGGAATAAAAACAAAAGAATTATTAATGGAAGGCATAAGGGTCATGAAAGATTATGTTCCAGAAGGATTGGATTTTAGTGCATCCATAATTCCTGAATGTGCAAAGAGCCTTGTTTGGATCCTGTTTTTGGTCTACTTTAGAAATTTCAACAGATACTCTGTAATTAATTATGTTTTGCTGGTATTTTAATTTCTTTCATCTGTATTTTCTGGATTGGGATGGCATCTTATCATTCTTTCCTTCTATGCATCTCCATTACTTTTTAATATAATTTTGTTTCTATGTACCATCAAAAATTGGAATTGAATGGAAACACATTAATTGTGCACATTATACATGTTATATGTAGATGTATATGTTTGTTTATATTGGGGATCTACCAATAATAGAATATTTTTTTTATTAGCTAATGAGGAATAATGATTAGATAATCTTACTGATCGAGTGTTACTATTCCATCTGTCGAAGTAACAGAAGAACTTGAAGGAAAGATACCTGAAACAAAATGTCAAGGACAGCACCAACAACCAAATGATAACAATAGAACAAAGAAGACAAAGTGGTAATGTTTCTTGAAGGATACAAAGGTGACCATCAAGGTATAGTTAACTGCTTTGTTGTAATAGACTTCAATGTTGACAGAAGTAGCATTTAACACTATAACTGAGAAGCACTCTCCATCATCATCCACAGAAGGACTCTCTATTAACCCTCGCAAATGGTAATGCTCACGATTTCCATTTGCCAGTAGAAAGAACTTGGCCTTGATAAACAAACAAATTATTTTTTCTTTGATACGTTGTATTAAAGGAGGGGAGCCACCTTCAAGCATTTACAGAAAGATTTAGTGATTTACATGTGTATCATGATTCCCCCACTCAGCTATACAAAATGGTAATGCTATATCAAAAAAATAATGGACTTCCAATTATTCAAAAAACTATCAACTGGAGTATCATAGAAGGGCTTCAAAACTTCCACCCAACAACAAATAAATAAGTAATTATTCTTCAGCATATTATCAATAATTCAGAGTATACGTAAGTTCCCAGAGATTAGGGATTTAACTTTGGGATTCTTAAGGTTCTAAATAATATTTTCATTTAAACAAGTACACTACTTTGTTTTCTATGGACACAAAATCATTTTTGATTAAGAATAATTTGGAAGTACAAAATAAAGATAAAGGTGAATGACCAAAAAGACTGGAAAAAAAACAAAATAAATGAAGGATAACTACAATTGCACAATTGGAAGGAACCCCTATCATGCATATTGACCCTTCCAAACACATCATTTGGCTAAAAAATATTCATTTCATCATAGGCCAGTCTCAATGTCCAAAAAAGACATTTTATTTTTATTTTAAATATGTATAATTGTATTATTCACTGGCAAAAGTCTACAAATCATACAAGATTAAAAAAAGCCCAAGTAGAAATAGAATACTCATCCAAAATCTGATAACAACTATAAATAAAAAAAAGAATGCTATACAAGGCAGGATGCAACAACTCTAGCATAGTAAATAATTCACAAAAGAGTTCAATTCTCCTGACATCCATCAGAGCTTCAATCATGATTAGATTGTGTAAACACTAATTTCTTTTTTTTTTCTTTATTTTCTTTTCTCCTTCCCTAATGGGCCCCACTCCACTTTTCTTTCTTTTCTTTTTATTTCCCTTTCTTTTCTTCTCATTCCCTTTTTCCCTCCCTCAAATTTTCTCCCTTCCATCTAGGCCGGAACTTCTCCATTTTGGCTGGACTTTCTCTCTCTCGCTCTCTTCTCTCCTTAGGGTGGAACAAAGAACTTTTTTTCCATTTTTCATCTCTTGGGGCAACGTGCAGTCTTCTTGCAGCTTCTCTACAGGGCTATACTCAGCCCACCCTCAAATCTGCCATACATGTGACATTGTATGCTAAAAAAAAGTCCACCACTCATACCAACAATACCCAGTTCAATTAATAGGGAAGATCTAACATCACTCGATTTAATTATTATATTTTATTTCATTTCCTTCAGTTTACTGATTGCTCATTACATCAATTGATTTGTTTTAATTCAGTTTACTCGATTTGGTTATTAGATAGCCCCGTTTTCTTAGCCATAAGCATTTATCTCTAGGATTTAGGCCTAGAATTTATTTATATATTCTAAATATTTAGTTTTTCTTTTATTCAGATCTTTAGTCAATGAAGAAAATATTAACTGTATTTTGATTAATCTTATCTCAACCATATTGCAACTCTGTAGCAAGTCCATATATCCTTCATTTAATTTTTGTATTTTACCCACTAGGATGACTTGAATTTAAATTTTATGGTTTTGTCATTATTTGGACTGCTAGTATTTTGGATCTTGTTAAACTTAGACAATCTGAATCTTAAACATTTCAAGCTTAACTTGATAGTAGGGTTCTAGTTTGTTATTTGTCATAGTTAATTTGTCTCTTACCACTATTGGACGCCTTAACTTCCCGTGAATTCTATTCCTTTAGCCATTCCAATACTTCTTCATACATTCTCCACTTTGTTTTGTCCAAAACTTGTTTAATGTAATTTTATGATAATTACATCACTTGCTCTGGCCTATTCAATTGGAACTTATTCAAATTTCTTATATATATATATATATTTTTTTTTTCACTCGTGTTTTCATTTTGGCACACCCATGCTCCCCACACACCTGATCCTATTTAACATCTTGCTTGCCGGTACAAATGCAACTACAAAAACTTAGAAGTGTAAACAAAATCATGGCTTCAAACCAATTCCAACTCCCTGAACTCAACTTAGAAAATACCACCCATCCCAAATTCCCTACCATTCCCCTTACTCAAAAAGAAACCATAGCTGAAACAACGTCCAACTCACCTATGAATACTACTTCCACACCTGACAAAGATGCTATTGCTGCACTAAATCAACGCCTAGCCACACTAACTGCTGAAAATAGAGAACTCAGCCAACAAATCCAAAATCCACACTCAACACAACTACATCCTCTCCCTCTACATAACCTATATGTTAGTGTAGGGGTATTTCTATATGTTAAGGTTTCTGATCTGTAATATTATATTAGAACTAGTGTCCCTCACTTAAATAAGGGCACATGTGTTTTTTCCATTATATTAGTAATATAAAACATGTTTGGCCGAATGGGATAATTTTTTCCCTAATTCGAACCAGACTTTTCTTCTCTCCTTTTCTCCTCCTTTCTCTCTCTCTCTTCCTTCTTTCCTCTTCTCTCTTCTTGGCTGTTATCAGACTAACAGAACTCAAAGACAGGCCGAATTATAATACTATACATACACCACTCACACAACACACATTGCAAATTACACAATCATCATCTCCTCTACCCATTTCAGCACCTCTACCTGCTCTTACATCCGCTCAACCAACTGCCCAACCGCTCCCACTAGAGGCAATTCTTCCTATTCCCCACTCACCTCAAGATAACATAGAGTTAATGGTTAACAAGCTAATAGCTAAACAGTTAGACGACCACCAAACCTCCTTAGAAGCTTCCTCCCTACATGAGCTTTGTTCCCTTCCTTTTCCCTCTTACATTAGTGCTGTCCCCTTTCCTCCCAATTTCATTTTTCCCCAATTCACCTTATATGATGGAACAAGAAACCTTCATACCCACAGAAAAGCTTTCCTTATTAAATGCATAAATATTCAGCACAATGACACCTTACTTTTACACCTTTTCCCCCTAAAGTTTAACAGGCTTGGCACTTACATGGTCCACAAATCTCCCTAGCCAGTCTATCACCACCTTTTTCCAGCTATCACGCCTATTCATTAACCAGTTTGCTTACAATCTCAAAGCTGAAGTTACCTTAGATGACCTAGCCAACATGAGACAAAAAAATTGATGAAACTTTTGCCCAGTTTTACAACCAATGGAGAGCCTTAGCCAGCCAACTTTTAGGTAGCCAACCAGAAACTTTCCTCATCTCAACCTTTATACGTGCTCTTGTACCCCAATTTCACTTTCAACTATCAATCCTTTGCCTCTCTATCTTTGAAAAAGTCATACAACATGGTATAGCTTTCCAAAGAGCCTTTGAAGCAAACGGTACTTTCCCCTTTGGCCCTCTCCTGACACCTTTCCTCACACTTATACCCACCCCATACGTCCATCCATAACACCGATCAACACTTTACATATAACCTAACCCAATAAAAAAATGAACAAAAACCACTAAAGGTACTTAACATTGATGTAGGTGGAATCATCTTGACAAATATGGGAAGTAAATTGGCTGGTGGAGTTGCCACAACAACAACAAAGTAAAGATGGATATAAGTAGGGGTGAACAGAAGGGTATTGGCATGGGAGAAATCAGGAAAGTTTACCGTTACATCTATTTACAACAAGATGTGAACAGTTCCCACAATAGAGTTTCCTGGCTAAAAAATTTGGTGTGCAGCAGTCTCTTCAAAAGTGGGTTTTTTCTGTGTATGTGTGTCTGTGGACTACAGTGTTGGACAAAATTCTCACAGAAGATAACCTTGTAAGGAGATGAATGAATATGGAAGACCTCAACTCTGTGTGTGTGTGTGTGTGTGTGTGCATTGTGCGAGAGGAGTACAGAATCCATGAATCATCTTGTGTGTGGTCAGTTTGCAGTAGTACTGTGATAGTTTGCTTTCCAGCCATTTTATGGATTTCCTGAATGAGCATAACAAGCAATGTTGCTTTGTAGTTATAAGGATAAAAGGAATGACAAACTTGTGGTTGACAAACCATTTTATGGATTTCTGAAGGAAGGTTAGGATCCATCATATGGATGGCCGAACCATGCTAGATGGCTGGGCAAATTTCAAAAAAAAATTCTTAACCTTCCGAGAATCGAATTCCCTGCAATTCGAAAAACCGCATTATTCTAGGATCGATCTTGTACTGAAACAGGACCAGATCTGAAACCAAAACAGGAGAGAGACGTATACCTGATACGGATTCCACAAATGTAGTTCCCAAGGTGGAAGTTCACGCCCAAATCAGTCCCTAAAACCAGCTTCCGCTGAAAATGGCGCAGCTTAAGGTTGAAGACAGTTCAACAACATAGTTTTCAGCAAAACTGCAATCCAACTTCTTAACTTCTTGGATCAAACTGGGGAGGTGAGCACGATTTTTCTTTGTATTTTTCTTGTAAAAATCAAACGAATAACTGATCTTTATCAGTCCCAAAAGGTGAGGTTGAACTAGGGTTTCATGGCAGACAAGAGAAGAAGAGAGAACAGAACTAGCAGTAGTTATCTAAAGCAGTTCGCCCTCTTCTTCTTTTATCCTTTATGGAGCATTTCTCCTAATCGAATTAGGAGATTTATCCAAATCTTTATTTGGATTTGGACTTTATCAAGAGATAGGTCTTATCCTTCTAAGAGAATGGGTGCTCCACACCTATTTCCAAACCCATATTCACCCATGTCGCAGTCATGTGACATCTTAATTAATCGTATTAATTATGGGCTTTAGGCCCATTAGCTATATGGCTCACGACCCAAGAGTGTTGCTTGGCTAATTTAGGTTTGATTTGTATGGCGTGGGACCCTACAATAACCTCACATAAATCTACATGGGTTC